TAAAAGGGAAATATCGAAAAACTACAAACATAATTACCGATAATTTGCCGTTTTGCAGTTGTTTTTGTATTTTTTAAATATTTTTCTTTTCGCTGAAGTCTTGAAATTTCCACACCGAATAGCAATTTTCAATAGCTTCAATTTGATATATAGGGTCTATTCAATTTGGGTCAAGTACTTCTGCTCATAACTCAGAAAAACTATTTTGGCTTCATCAAATCATAGGCCTTCATCATAGCAGTTAGCCTTCCAGTTTGTTTACAGTTCAATGGCTTGGGCTTTCCGTCATTAGCGTTTAACCAACTCTTGTATAGTGTCGTGATCACCACGCTTGCCTTTCAAACTGGGAGGCCTGTTAGAGTTTAAGATTTTCAAAAGGACAACCTTTTTTTAAATGGGTTGTATATAGTAATGTCTACAAGTATAAGTGATATCTGATATATCATGTAAATGTTCCCGATATGTTGTTCAAAGATCTGTTCTTTTTTTCTTCTGCCATCCAAACATTAGGGAACACTTGGTTATCCAGCAGTGATTTCGGCAAATTAGAGCTGTTTTTGTATGGCTCAAGTGATTTTTAGCTTGACGCAAATCAAAAACTTTTTCTAGCTGTTCAAACATGTATTAATAAAATCTACTCGTTTTTGTTAATTAGCGGGATGATCTTTTTTTGTTTTTGTTGTGTGAGTGTGTGTGTGCTTGTGCTTTTTATTAATTCCTCCACAGGCACATTACAATTGCATGTAACTCATGTAAAGGCCTGTTTACACTTGCAATTTTCACTGCGATTTCTACGGCGATTTTTTAAAATCTCCAGTGTAAACACCCTGCGATTTTGACTCCAAGTTTGGTGCGACAACACTGCAATTTGCAGCGATTTTTCCATTTTACTGGCTTGTAAACTGAATTAAATTTTCAATACATGACTCAAGTTTACAAGCAATACAAAGATTTTGTTCTAATTAGGTTGTTTACGGCTGTTTTCTGACAAGTGATTGGCTGTAGAAAAAATTACCTACTGTTCGTCGCCTGTTTTAGTTTATTCTATAAGAATACAGGGTATAAAAGCCAAGGACAAGACTTATGTCATGCAAAATGGGTCTGAAAAAACTTTTTGTATTGAACTACCACTCGCACACAAACGAATAGAAACACCAGCTTTTGTTCTGAAGTCAGTACAAAGACAAAGACCAAAATGAACGCGGCAAATATTTATAGTATTGCAGTAGTTCGTTGTACTTCGTTTTTATTTCGTGTTATTATTAGTTAACTGCATTTATATAGTAGATTTACCTGTGCAATATTGCTTTTAAAAACAGCGTGAAAGTGAAGAATTGTAAATATTTATTAGTTTATGTTGCTTGCCAATGCTTGGCTTTGATAAACACCTTTATGGAAGGTGACAACGCCTGCCGTTGAGGGGTAGCACAGTCGTATTTTATTCACATCTTTTGAAAAATCGCAGCGAGTTGCGATAAATTTTGATCATGATCGAAATATTTGCAGCTTGTCGCAGTGAAGTTGCACTGGACTTGCAGTTAAATCGCAGGGTGTTTACACTGGCGATTTCATGTCGCCATCACGTCAGCAGAAAAAATCGCACTAGAAATCGCAGCAAAAATTGCAAGTGTAAACAGGCCTTAAGGAGCCCAAAATAAGCAAACAGTGCATTTGGCTCAAACATGCAGATTAAAAATATGTTTAAATAGAAAACATAATAATAATATCTGTTTCACACTAAGACTAAGAGTATGGTATTGACTTCAAAGTCCACTCTAAGAAACAAATTGCTCTACCACTATATTGAACATAACTCGTCATTGTATTTAGACCAGCATGTACAATTTACCAACTGAATGGTTTTAATATAGTGGACTTGTAGGCATGAAAATAAGGTACTCGTGCTTAGAAGACGAGGAATATCCTTGGTCGGACCTCTACTCAAGGTCTTGAAATAATTGAGGAGAAAGTGCTACCTTTACATAAGGAGCGTTTCTTTTGTAAATCTAGATTTGGATTTTTAGGATTTGGATTTTTAGGATTCAGATTCTTTGGATTCGTCAAACAAATGGAACGAATTGTGAGAATCGGAATTCGCCTGCTGTTTTCCCGCCATTTTTACAATAAGTTTTCTGTCCCACTATACCTTGCGGTCGGATCAAGGTACATGCTAGAAGGCCAGAAGCTCAAAAGGAACGTTGAATCCTAATCAAGATTCAGATTGAATCCGAAAAATCCATATGTTGAGGTGGATTCATCAGTTTCGAGTATTTTAAGATTTTGTCAAATGAAACTGAAAATCGATAATCGGATTTGAAGATCCAAATCCGGATTGCACTAAAGGAACGCACCCATAGACATCAGTAAATGGTTAGACTTTCGCGTCTTCTCGGATAAAGACGTTAAAATCGTAGGTACCTCAGATCCCTTATCAATTGAGCAATACATAGCCTGTTGGGAAATCCGCTGACCAATGAGTGAGTAAATCAATAAACAGAAACTAGGACTGCCAAAATTACGCATACCTTAGGAGCGGAGTCTTGAAAAGCGAGATCATAATGAAAAATAACTCCAGGTGTAAGGAAACTTGTAAATTGATAAAATATCTTAAAAACAATAAAATAATAAATATAAGAACATATTTTGACCAGGGCCAGCGCTTAGGGGGGGGGGGGGGGACACCCCCAGTCGTAAGGTAGTCGGCAAAACATGGATTTGGATAAAAATTAATTATTTGATATAGCTACGGATTTGGATTAAAATTATAAATGATATAGCTACTAAAATGTGGAGAAATTTACGAAACAATTAGGGAAAAATGCAACGACAACGGCGGTTGAACACAAAATAATAATGACAAATATGATGTCCCCCCTCCTATAATTGCCAACAATTTTGGGAAAACAAATATTAATTAGTGCTTTCAGTGACTTGGCAAAATGCCTTCATAACTCGGCAAAATTTACTTACCCCCCCTCCCCCCTCCCCCAATCAAAGAGGTCTAGCGCTGCGCCTGATTTTGACTACAGTTACCACCCATCTATAAATTACTTACTTCAGTTTGTTTTTTCTTGCCAGAAAATCCAACAATACTACCAATGTCCAGGGGAAGTTCCTTGATTAGTGAGCCATCTGCTAAGCGATGTAGGTATAACACATTCTGACAAAAAACCAGGAAATTTCATTATTACTATACGAGGAAACTGTACTGAACTCTATAGAAATACTAGAAAGATAACTCCTAGTGGTAAACGGCCCTATGATTGGGTGTAGGCAAGATGGCGGCCAGTAGAGTCACCACTTATAACATGCGTGTATTTTGCGTGGGCTTCGCGGAAGCTCAAAAACCAAGAAAGCCGCTGAATTTTCAACCTGAATTTTCAACCTGAATTTTCGACCCGAATTTTCAACCTGAATTTTCAACCTGAATTTTCAACCTGAATTTTCAACCTGAATTTTCAACCTGAGTTTTCAACCTGCATTTTCAACCTGCATTTTCAACCTGCATTTTCAACCTAAATTTTCAAGGATGGCGAATTGACAAACGCTACTAACCTTGACATCATGCAGATAACATAGTACCAGGGTGTCGTTGTTCACGCAGGAAGCCCACTCCAGAACGTCTTTTGTGTCTTCTGCTATTAAAGTTGTCCAGTTTTCCTACATGCAACAAATATAGATAATCTTAAAACACTATTTTTCACAGTTTGTGTAGATTATAGACCGACTAGAAAAAAAATTGTCATTCATTTGTCTCCCGAAATTAATTTCAACCAAGGAAATCACTGCCGCCTTATAGCATACTTCAGGACAAACAGTTTTACAAAGGATAAAGATATAATATCATGTACATGTATTCTCTCAACATCGTACCCAGGCTATTTTCTCTTATGCTCGGTGCACGGCCTCCCAAAAAGACCCTGGGTACGAGGATGGTATTCTCTTTGAGAAATTAACTCTTAAAATACTGGAGTTTGTGCTAGATTTAGCAAAGACGATTGACTAGCTTCGCTTCGGTGCTTTTTTGCACATTTCAAATGGCTATAATTTCACTTGTGTGGATTTTTTCAAAGGAAATCACTGCCGTGTTGGTGGTTTTATATCAATATATGTGACAAAAAATCATGTTCATTTACATAAACTTATATAGCTTTGATTTTCTCGGCTTAGACAACGTTTATTTTTAAGATAACTTCGCCAATGAACTCAT